TCAATGTTTGTCAAAAGCAAATGATAGAGATGGACTAATGTACGTGACAGACGCTTCTAAAGCTTGAATGGCAAATCTGTATCATTATGCACTGAGTAATATTGTTTCTATCCCTGTTTGCTGCCTGGAGAAGCTGTGCAGACTTACCATAAAGACAATAATTGGTGAAATTTAATAATTAACAATAGACAGCATCAAAATTTAGTCAAAATAGAACAAGCATTTTCGTGGTTCACTCAAATCATAAGTCTTTTTTAAGTCTTACATCTCATTTGCTGTAATAAATAGAATCAAACTAAATGTCACCACATTAGAGGAATCTTTGTAAATATCTGACTGCAGCTCTCCTATCCAGATTTTTCTCAAGTTTAAAATTTTGCAGATCTTCCATGCTTTAAAGACACTTTAACTGCATATCACTGTATTTTGGCCTTTGTGTATGTATGTGAATGTGCTGCAGCCAGTCAGTGCATATGATTGTTTATAAGGTCTGTGGCTTCAGCAGTCGTGCTGGTTAAACATCCTGCCACCCTGCAGAGATGGCTTCCTTTTTGTGGTTATGCTGACAGTAGCTTTAGAACTCTTGGATTGTACGCATCTTCCTTCTTGTGAAGCACACAAGCGGCAAACTTCCTTGAGTTGTTATAAAAACAAAAACACATGTTTTATCTAGATTCCACAGACAGCTGCTGAAGCCATTATGGCAACTGAAAATTTGGCCTTTGATGGTTTTAGGTTTCACAAACAAATGACAACAACACTATTTAGAAGTCTTTATGTCTTCTCTGCCTTTTTGGCTGCTATCTTTCATCAGTGGCTGCTGTTCCCCCCACTCCTTATCTTCATGTTGTCAGGGAATGGTGGTTTGTGGGGCCCCTGTGTTTATGTTCTCCTCCAGGCGTCCACCAGAGGGCGTCCTGGAGGAACTTTACCCTTCCGTGACTGATTCCCCGCAGGTGTGTGGTCTACACACCTGCGATTCATTTGGCTCGTCACTCTGTGGATAAGAGGACTTGTCACCGTGCACTCTGGGCCTGAGTGTTAACCAGCATGGTCACTTCAAGCCTCCCTCCCAAGTTTTTTCCCGTGTTTCCATCCAAGTTTTCTTCCGAGCTTCCCTTCGTGCCTCCCTCCGTGCTTCAGTGTAACTGCCTGGACCATCAGCTCATAACCGGTACCACCCCCGCTTTGTTTTTCAACCTCATCATTGCATGTTCAGTTTCTGCAATAAACCTCATTTCTCTAATTCCACCTCTCCCGAGTGTTGTTTCTGCATTTGGGTCAAGCAGTCTAACTAATCCCATGACACATGTTCTCATTCACTTCACACATGTAACACCCAAGAATACTTTTGTTTTGACATGAAACACACTGAGAGCACACATCGGTCTTATACCAAAGTTAGGCTAGATAATATTCTGTCATAGAAATGCTTCCTTTTTAAGATGGTTTGAATTTTGCACCCTGAGTATATAGTCACCTCTCTACAGATGTTTCTGCCACAACCATAAGTTCTGATTCAATTTTATACCACACCTAACTCCAGTTCAAAGAATCAATAGATTACAGCTTTTATTTCTTGTAGCCCAAAGTACTACAACAACCTCTGTGGAAATCTGACGGCTGCAGCAACCATAAGTTTGAAGCTATGCTCAAGAAAGCCCCCCTTTATAGGGGGAATCAAGCCTCTCACTCTAGCACCAACAGAGTTAATGTCAGGGCACCAAGTCTGACTGACTGCCTCTCCCTGATCCAGTGTACTTATACTATTACATAAGCATGTGCACAGAATGTGTTGCAGCTAGCTCATTGGTTCCTCCGTGTCCTTGGGCCTTCTTCCACCATCTTGTAGGTGCAGAAACTTGCCACTCAGCACCCAACTGTTGAGCACCTTCAGTTTCTCCCTCCTGCAGATACCTGCTTGTGCCAGAGAAATATACACAAGCCAACAAATTCTGTTTCTACCTACGTTTTCTCATGCTGCAATTGTTTACAAGTTATGTTGATTATGCCTTAAGATAATAAGAGATTAAGACAATAACAGATTAAAACATGAATATAAAATATTTGATCGTAACAAAATCAACATGGCAACGTGAAATCTGCCAGAGCACATGTCAAGTCAGTGCAAAAGTGTACATTTGTAGTCTACTCTTCATTTTATTATCAGTACCAGCATGCAGTTTCAACAACCAAACATTAACCTGGGTCGCATTCAACTCTGGCAACCATTCATCAAGTTATTCTTTTAACCTTTCAGTTGTACTTCGGGTGAGAGCGTTTCATCACTGGCAGAGGGTGACGGGATTCTGAAGCCGCTTAGAGGTAGATATGTGCAACACATAATCCAGCTGTCTCGTTTTTGGCACCCACCAGCTCTGCCAAAGTGCCTGCAGCAAGATACTAAACCTCCAACAGCTCCAAGAAAAATGATTTATGGCTGACACACCACAGAACCATCATAGTCAAATGTGTGTGAGAAAAATTTTGAAGCAGGTCCAAGATAACAGGAGCTGCACCTTATCTTTCGTGACATTTTCTGACGGCCCGTGTGCTGTAGCCGTACGGGCGGACCCGAAGGAAAAGGGGAGGCAGGAGAAACAGGTTACAAAGAATAGGTTTATTAATAAAGGTGAGGGAGTGGAGGTCACCAAGAGGAGGAATCTGGTGCAGGAGTGCCAGTCGAGGGGGTGCGGGGGGTTGGGGGGGTCGTCCGTGCTGAGATCCGTGAGGGGAGTGCCGCTGAGGTTGTGCTGGGGAGGGAGGCGTGGAGGGGGATTCCGAGGACGGTGCGTGCAGAAACGGTGCTCAGGGGACGGTGCTCGTGGTCAATCCTTCCCAATGGAGGTTTTTCCCGGAGTTGGTGCTCGAAGAGGGGTACTTCTCGTGAGGGTGCTCGTAGCTGTGAATTCCGTAGTGAGGCCGGTGGGCGATAAGGCTGGTGTGGCAAGTGGAGCGCTGGAGGCTGGAGCCGAAGGGGGGCGCTGGAGGCACACTAAGAAAACACGAATTACTCGAAACTCGAAAAACACAAACTTAGCTAGAGGCTCAACAAAGTGTAGCAGCTAAGCGGCCTGACTGTACCACTAAGGATGCATCACAATCATCTGGCACTGGAGTTCTGTGAGACACTCGTATTTGAGGTACTCCGCTGATGAGCTGATGAGCCACAGCTGTCAGTGTGAGAGTGTCCCTCTCCGACTTGGCTCCGCCCAGCCTGCACAGAAAAAACCACACGCCCATCAAAAAACACAGACACAGGAGGCAGAGAAAGCCAAAACGCAAAACATGCTCCATAACCCTCACAATTTTCTGACGAATGAATCAAAATTTTCTTTGTCAATTATTTAACTTTTCCTTGCCAAAATGGAAAGTTTGCAACAACAAAAAAAATTACACAGACTTGGTTTCTCTCTGTAGAGTTTGTGCAATCTGGCCTGTTGAAAAGAAAACCACCAATGCACATCCTCTTCAAATTTCAATCAGTGTTGTGTGGCTGGTGGCTTTTTTCATGTTTGTCGTGGGCCCCAGTTTTTCCATAATGTCCCTGAAACATGCTGCTTCTGGGATGTCAAGTATACTAGTATTACTTGTAGCACAAATGTTGGAATTCTTTGACAGCCTTTACAACAACAAACAAATCAGTGTAGTTCAGGGTGTACTATCAACATATGGCTGCCATGAGTAGCTCAGCAAGTGAGGGTAAAAACATCAGGACTGCTGGGAAAGAGAATGAATAGCAAAATTGTCTGTGACTGTATACAAACAAAATAAAACATCTTGAACTCTTTCAATCTTTTGTCAGGCAAAATTTATTTTGCAGAATTTTGCTTGATGAAGGCCTGAAACCTTGTAAACGAAGTGATCAATAGTCTCACTCTCTTGAGTACTCTGTGGTAAGTGTCATTCTGAATGCATGCAAAAGTTTGAGGGTGTGCATGAGGCTTCAGAATCAACATCCTTTCTGGTAACAGCATTTTAAGAAACCCCAAACCTCTTCCCTTACCACACGTGGCATTGATGTTGCATAGCTTCGCAGCACTCAGATCGCTTCATACTCCAATGTCTTAATTTATGCTGACACACAGTCTACAATGCTCACTGAACCTTCCATTGGGGGTTCTTAGCCCGTAACATCAGCGCTGGTGTAAACCTCAGCCTTCATCTGTCACACCGAGGGCAGAGAGCTTTGGTGCATTAGTATCGTCCCACGGTACTGGCTCAGGGCCATGCATATTGTATGAGCATGTAACCTACATCTATCCACACTGCTGTCAGCCGAGGTTCCCTGATCAGACAAGTTCAGTATGCAGAGTGTAATGGTGTCCAGGAATGTGTAGCGTGGTGTTTAGTCAATTTATTCCCTTGTCAAAAGAGATCAAGGTCCTGCTGATTTTAAACTCCTAAAACTGTTTCTCAAATGGCTGCCAGAAGTCTGGGGTGTGTGCTCCTCAAATGGGCATTCGAAATGGTTTGAGGCTGAAACAGTAAAATTATAATGGAGGTTTTATGAGGTGTGATGAGGGTGAGCTAAAACATTAGCGAATATATTTCAAATATTTCAAGAAAATAGTTTAAGATAGTTTTTGATTCGTGTTATCTTGCAAAATCAATGTTCATTTTTGCAGTTATTAACTTGCATTATAAATCAAACTGCAGTCATGATTTCATGGAGCTGCAGTGAAGTGTGTACTGAAAAAAAAAGTGAAATAGAGAGATAAAAGGTCTGTGAGACATTGAGGTCAACAAACTCCCACTAATGACAGAGAATGGGAGGTGTTAATGTTGGGATTTACTAAGGCAGCGTAAAATCAGCCAAATGGTGAGGGAAATTTTAATCATCGCAAGGCTGAGGGAGGAACACTCATGAATAATTTTACTGTGCACCATATTTAACTGACAGAATATTCTGTAAAGCTGATCAATCATTAACCACACAGTTTAAGCTTTCTGTTTGACAAAAATGTTTGTGGTTTCTCTCCTTCTTCTTTTTGTCTCAGATTCTGATTGGGGAAGTGACCAGTTTCTTTGTGAAGACGGAAGGAGCTCAGGAGAAGACCATAGTGACCGCTGACTGCTGCTATTTCAACCCTCTCCTCCGTCGGATCGTACGTTTTCTGGGTCAGTCATAGTGCTAAAGATCAGAGTTTCTTCAGTTTTGACTAATAGAGCCTCTGTACACTGGGACTAAGCCTCATTAAGACTTTCACCACTACGCCTCAGTGATACAGTATGAAGCGTAAACAAGAAAAGCCCTTGTCCTCAGTATGGGTCTCCTGTGGGCCAATTTCCATTGGCCTTCTTTTCATGTCCCGTTCTGTTGATGCTTTGTGATCTTTTTCAACTTGTCTGTATGCTAGATTGAAGTCATAAAACATAAAAGCAAAGGCTATGCCTTTCTGGCCTTTGGCTCTCACACAGACAACAGTCAGCAACAACAATATGATTCCCGTTTAAGTGCTTGTCTCTGACTCTGCACCATCAATGACTTTAAATTCATGTATATATCTGTACAATCCCTCTCATTTACTCTCTCTCTTTTACACTCAGGTGTCTACTCCTTTGGCCTATTCACCACCACCATCTTTGCGAATGCCGGTCAAGTGGTGACAGGAAACCAGACACCTCATTTCCTGTCTGCCTGCAAGCCAAACTACACAGCTCTGGGCTGCCAGTCTCCACTGCAGTACATCACAGACCGCCGAGCCTGCACAGGGAACCCATACCTGGTGGTGTCCGCTCGCAAATCCTTCCCCTCCAAAGACGCAGCACTCAGCTTTTATTCAGCTATATACACAGTGGTAGGAAACCTTCAGACATGAAATATGAACACCTTGTGTATGTGGATGCTTTGTTTAATTAGTGAAGCCATAATACTAATACTACTACTAATAATGATGATAATACTCTTTCTTTATATGGCATTTATCAAAATAAAGTTATATAGTGCTTCACAAAACTTAATAAAGAACACAGAAACCATAGCAAGAGACCAACTCATGGGGAGATTTTGGGGCCAATGCCAATAATATCTCAGAAAACGAAAAATTCTGATAACAATATACTTTATACAAATAAATAAGTAAAATGTAAAATGAGCTGGAATCAAGCTAGTTGTCTATTTTACAGTATATTCTATTCTAAATAGCTTAATATTCATGATGGATTTTGGAATTAGGATATTTAGGAAAATCTAAAATAACATCTGATCTTCTCTCCACTAAACATTGTAGTCTCTACTATACCAAGCCAGCTATGAAATAACGGTCACCAACAGCAAATAATGGTTCGCTATTGCTGAGTAATGCGAAACCAAACTTTTAAATTTTCACTTTTGTAAATGCAGTCACTGGAATTGTTCTGTTTGGAAGGCGTAATAAACTGCAAGTCCTGAGCAACTCATGTATAACGTAATATTAGAATTAGTAAGACTCTTATTAAATTTATATTGTATAAAGAGAGTGGGTTTAGATGCTAACACATTAGCTTCCACTCAACTGAGAAGTTATGAAAGCTACTTGCTAGCTAGGTAATATAGCATGTTAGCAAAAGTATGAGTAACATGAAGGTTTTCAAAGGGACTAAATGATGAGGACATTGTTTATTACTTATTTTTTACTGCAGCATTGCATCTCACCAACTAGGTGACAAGGTGGCATGAAGTCAGCACTCAGCAGACTATTAAATTAGATTTCATGCTAACCTTTTAATCTGGTACGTAGACTTTATTGTCAAGCTATGGCTAACTAGCTACGTTGCTAACATAGCCAACAGATACAAGTGCAAGTGACATGACAGTAATCCTGAAAAGATGAAATGATAGGTTTGTTTTTTCTTATTAATCTTCCATCAATGTATTTCACAAATCTAATTTGTTGGTGAAGACACCACCAGACTCTGCACCACCATCTGCTCAGCCATGATATGTATTCTGCCTGCTGTATGTGCTACTGAGATTTTGACCAACAATGGAGTCAGAGTGCTCTCTGCTGGATAAACTACATGATAACACCATTTTTTACTGATGCCAAGCCTCTTTTTTTGGCGTTACATCCTTTTAAATTAACTTTCATATTGTATAACATAGATTTTGATACCAATATATCTGTGATAGGCCTAATTTGGCTGATAAATCAGCTGGGCTCTAATAAAAACACACACAAAAAAACCCAACTGTAAAAATAGAATTAGCACACAGTAGAGTATAAAGGGGTTTATAAGTTGTGACTGAGTGATTTAGTAATGGTTAGTGTCATTCACATTACATGAATTAATTACATGGATACCTTCTAAGTTGTCATATTTTTTAAAATCCCTTTAGCTGGTCAAAACACAACACACAACTCATGCCTAAGGGTTTTCCTAATCAGTGGCTGAAAGCGGATTTGTATAAGCTATGATTTATAAAAATTAAATTCCCCTTAGGTATAACTTGTCAACCCATACTGCAGCCTAAAATTACAAGAGGACTGAAATCACACAACATTCTATTAAAAAGAAGGAACGTTCTAAGTGCTGTCTTTGAACTGACCGCTACCTGCTTCACAGCTGTTATTAAGGAACAATTCCTTATAAGGTCAGGTACTATTAAATACTTTTTTTTTTTTTTTTAAAGCAACAGAACTTTATTAATTTTTTTATTATTGTTTTTTCCCCAGTCGTTTTCCAGCACATGTTCATGAAACTGTGCAATCTACATGAGAAAAAACAAACATTTAAATTTGTAATCAATGATAATTACTACAACAAATAAAACTGTCTGTCCCCCTCTCATATTAAACAAATAACATAAACCTTCCCTGTACAGCCTGCCAAGACTCTCAACAACCTTTAGAGGCACGTGCACAAATAAAAACACACAAACATACACATTACTCAACTTGTCATATCAATTATTTTACTGCTGTTCTTTCATCCCCTGAGAATCTGACATTTTGACCTCATATCGACCTGCTGAGATACACATCTGCTTTAAAGTGTTTACACTGATGGTTATCATCTCAGTCTTAACACAAATCCTCTGCAACTTTTCAGGCATTTGTCTGATTTATGTTTTACATCCAGCAAAGTTTGTAATTTCCAAGGGTAAAAGGTGTGCACAACTATAGGCCTGGAAAGTAATAAGGTTTTGCGTTTAGTTTACATTATTTTAGATTTAAGCACCACTGGGGGGAAAAAAAATCATAAGCCTTTGTTCTCTTTTTAATCACACTGCCTTGTTCCTTTCATTTTAGAAGTATTAAACCAATCATGGTGGTGTTAATAAAGTGCTTTTTTCTCTTTTGGTAAAACCCCTCAGCTGCTCTAAAATTACTGCAAAGTATGGTCTCATGTGGCTTAATTAAGCTGTTCAAGCTATTAGTGCAGTTTGTGTGATCTCAGCTGGCTGACTGGGCCTATGATCCAACACCTGGTTTACCTCACGCTGAACACATAACATACCATTTCATGTGCATGTTTGAATAAACATATGTCACACTTCCAGATGTACGTGACCCTGGTGTTCCGGACCAAAGGGACCCGTCTGACGAAGCCCACCTTATGCCTGGTGCTGCTGTCTCTGGCTGTGCTGGTGGGGGTGGTGAGGGTGACCGAACACAGGAACCACTGGAACGACGTCCTAGCTGGATTTGTTACGGGAGGAGCCATTGCTGCATTCCTGGTGAGAAGGAGGGAAGGGAGGTTGGAGGAGGTGATGGATGGGATTTCATTTGAATCCGCAGCTTCCCTCAGCTTTATGGAGCTTGTATTCAGTTTCACTTCAGCTATCCGCCCGCAGCTTTACTGTTTGGGTAGTCTCACATAGGCTGACCACTGACTGTACATAAGGAAGACAAATTGGCTGAATTTACAAGAGCCAAAAGCAGAGATAGCAGTTACTGTCTGCAATAGTGTTACTGTTCTTTTGTTTTGTTCTGTTTTTCTGTCATGACTGAAACTAACCACTGCCTCATTGAGTTGTGTGGAAAAACTGTTATGTGGGTTAATTAAAATAGATATTTTTTCAATTACTGATAACAGCTGAGGAAAAACAAACAAGTGAACAGTCTAGTTGTAGTTATCTCCCCTGTTTGCTTTGCCTCTGTCACTGCAGTTTGCTTTTTTAGCTCCATTTTATGGTCACTTCTAATTTTAAAAAGCTGTTTTTTGGGAAATTGTACCTTCTGTGGCATATGTGCTTTTTCAATAGTAAAGTCAGGTTCAGATATTACGTCAGCTTTGACCGAATGTGTTCCACTGCATTTTTCATTTGTAGGACAGGATGGTATGATGAAGGGAGAAAGGAAGGGTCAAATTTGTATGAGGGAAGAATACAAAGATAGAGCAGTGTTGGCGTGATGTGGGTGCAGGAGAGATGGTGGGAGCATCGACTGATGAATAAGACTAGAAGGAGTTGTGTGATACAGGACACACTTTTATACCTATGAATGCACAAAAGCATGGACTGTGCTGAATCTTTATTGTGGCACATTCGTATAGCATCATTCGGTCTCAGACCTCTTGGCTTAAATCATTTTTCCAGAAAAACTTCTAGGATCAGTGTTAACTTCAACATAAAAATATTCCCTGTGGCATGCCTCAAAGACTATAGATTTTTTTCATGCCTCCTCCCATAATTCATTCTTTATCCCTCTTACTTTTATCTCTCACTCTCCCCCTTCACTGTTTCCATGCACACTTGGAGCATTTCATGCACTATAAATTCATCCATCTGTGTTGTGAAGTGAAGCGTGTCTCTCCTTTCCTTTTTCTGTTACCCCCTTTTTGTCTGCTCTCCATCAGGTGTCGTGCGTAATCAACAATTTCCAGCCAACACAGATAGGGGTGCCAACTCCTCCACCTCCACAGCGTCTAGAGCCCCCCGTCGGGCTGCCTCTCCTCAGCCTGCCTCGTGTGGAGAGTCCACTCGAAAAGTTAAGTGGCCTCCAGGTAAGGGGTGGGGAATAGAAATATTAAAATAATCAACAGAATATAATGCAGTCATGAACAAATGTTTAAATAGACATGTTAAGACGAAGCATATCATGGCTGTCTTGAGTTTCTAATGACTGAATTTTCTACGATGGAATTATTGAAACCCATTTGTCTTTGTCATAAAACACAATCATGCATTTTGGTATTTTTTTCTTGATTTATTATAGGCCTTCTGGAAATACAACAAAATCTGCGCTGTTAAAAAAATAGAGAAACAGCAATGATTATATTTGCTTGTGTCTTGGTAACCGTCAAAAAGCTTCTGACAAGTTTCTGGTTGTATCTTTAACAACTCCTGGCAAAATTGGTACAGTTCAGCAAAAGTTGTTGGCTATCCTGAATAGATTTGTTTCTATATCACAACCCACAGGTTCTTGATGGGGTTTATTTCAGGACTTTGAGGAGACCAGTCTTAAACATTAATTGTAGCCTGATTTAACCATTTGTTTACCACTTTTGATGTGTGTTTGGGGTTACTGTCTTGTTGGAACACCCAGCTAGGGGGTGGTAAGGGCCTTATGCTCTCTCCTCCAAACATATTGCTGGTCATTGTGGCCAAATAGCTCTATTTTTGTTTCATCTGACCACTGAACTTCCTGCCAGAACAGCTTTTCTTTGTCCATGTGATCAACAGCACACTTCAGTCGAGCCTTAAGATGCTGCTTCTGGAGAAAGATTTTCCTTCTTGCACAGCAGCTGCTCAACTCATGGTGATGTAAAACACACTTGACTGTGAAAATTGACACCTGTGTTCCAGCACCTTATAATTCATTGCAGACCTGCTTTTTTGTGATTCTTGGTTGGCTCTTGACCCTCCTGACCAATTTTCTCTCAGATTTGCTTTTTCATTTCTGTGCTGATGTCCTCAGACTTTCCCACTGTAGTGTTTGTGTAATGAGTGTATGATATGGGTTAGGGTTAGGGTTAATTTAAATTGACTCAGAAGAGTCACCAGCTGTAGTCCATTTCTCATGGGAATGTAAGTCATGCCAGTAAGAAAATTTGATTATAGTAAGGGAAAAATATCAAAATCTGCCAACTAAATCACTACCAAACAATTTCTTCACCAATATGTTTGTAAAAGTATGTAATAACATGCCTTCGAGTGTTGAAGTTCAACTCCCATGGGAAACCTTAAAAAAAACCCTGCTCAAGTTAGGGTACCAATAACCGATTGACAAAAAATCGATTTTTAAAAAATCGGGCCTTAAGTAACTTATGAGGGGTCAAATCAGGGTTTTTTCATGGTTCTGAGTTGATTGTTAGCATTTATATTTCACCACAAACACTCCATTGTTGAAAAAGGCCACACTCACATTTACATTTACATACACAGTTGCTTTTATTTCACACACTTATACACCGCTCAAAAAAAATAAAGGGAACACTAAAATAACACATCCTAGATCTCAATGAATGAAATTTTCCAGTTGAAAATCTTTATTCATTACATGGTGGAATGTGTTGAGAACCAAATAACATAAAAATGGTCAATGAAAATCAAAATTATTACCCCATGGAGGCCTGGATTTGGAATGAGGTAGCAGATGTACTCCGGAGGGATCTCCTCCCAGACCAGGGGCCTCATGTACAAAGGGTGCGTACGCACAAAAACTTGGCGTATGCACTTTTCCATGCTCACGTTCAGATGTATCAAGAGTGAAATAATCGTGGAAATGTGTGGTCGGTCCTCCATGTCAAATTCTTGACTGGCGTACGTACATTTCTATTGCTTTTGAGCCGTTGGCAACACTTAGAGGTGATGCTGGGAATGAAAAAATGGAAAAAATAATGGGAAAAAAAGGTCATTCCTCAAAGTGATATGCACATCAGAGAAACTTCGATGTACAACTAACACACCCAGGTGTTTGCAATCAGATGAGTGGATATAAAAGTATGCGTAAAACAGTGCAGAAGATACCGTTAACAACAATGGCAGCTTTGACACTTTTGGAGGATATTACCAATGGAGCAGTGTGAAGAGAACACATTTTCGGAGACCGAGAGAATTTTTTGGCTCAGGATCGTCCTGAGTCAAAAAATCATCTCGGTCCCCGAAAACCCGACTGGCTCATCAGCCGCTTTAGGTTCCCGAGGGCAATCCTCCTGGAACTGTGTGCGGAACTGCGGCCATTACTGGAGCACAACACGGCCAGGAGCCATGTCCTACCTGTGCCCATACAGGTGCTTGTTATATATTGGCGAGTCAGGAGGCTTGCTTTGCATGTGAAACATCACATTTTACTTGGAACCATTACATGCACTGGCTGCATCAGCTCCGGCATACTGCACATACCCAACACACATCACACACCTGCGTGTTTACATACATCAACTTCGGGTGCCTGTTAGGCACTAACCTTAATACATTACATCCCCTTTTTTCACTTTTTTTTTTTTTTTTTTTAAAAACATTCACCAACCATTCCAAACCAAACACTGCAACTGCTTCAAATTTATATCTGTTCTGTCTCTTATGTACTTCAACACATTTTAAACCATGACTCATTAACAAAACAGTTTCATTGTCATGTGAATATAACTCAGTCTCTGTATCTAGACGGCAACCAAACATGTCTACCAGATCTGGTTTGATGTGAAAGCGTTTCAGAGTGTTCATTCTGTATCCCTGTCTTGTCAACAACTGAGTGCTCAGCTGTCTTGTCTGCATATTCCACTCCTGTATCCATGTCTTCCACGACTGAGTCAGTGTTGTGGTTGGAATCAAGTTCCTGTGTAGGTTGAAAAGTTCTCTCCTCTGTTTTAAGCAGATGCTTCCTGTTTCTCCTGTACAGTCCTCCATCAAGTGTACGAACCACATAAGATCGTGGTTGTTCATGTTTTTTCAGGACTACGGCTGGCTGCCACGTCTCCCCTCTTTGCATTCTGACATTATCACCTGCCTGCAGGTCAGACAGCCTCTTAGTTTGTCTGTCAAAGTAAAGTTTTTGCTTCTCTTGCTTGTCTTTCATCTTCCTGCGCACCTGAACAGTTCCATCTGGAGTAAGCAGTGAGGTGGATGTTGGCAGTTTTCCTTTCAGCCGTCCCATAAGCAACTGCGCTGGTGACAGTCCAACACCATCCAGTGGTGTATTGCGATACTCCAACAGTGAAATATAGGGGTCACCCTTTTCACCTTCAGACTTTTTCAGCAGATTTTTTATAGTCTGTACTGATCTTTCTGCCTGGCCATTTGATTGGGTGTAGCCAGGACTAGATGTAATGTGCCTAAATTCCCAGCTTCCTGCAAAGTCTCTGAACTCAGTGCTGGCATACTGTGGACCATTATCTGAGATAACAACATCAGGAATACCATGCCTTGCAAACACTGATTTCAGTGCGCCTATGACACTGCTACTGGTAGTGTCCTTTAACTTCATTATCTCTGGAAACTTAGAGAAATAGTCCACACATAGCAGAAACGCAGATCCTTTGTAATGAAAGAGATCGGTCCCTACTTTCTCCCATGGTCGATCAGGTAGGGGATGTGGGAGTAGTGGCTCTCTTGCATTGCTGTTACGGTTTTCATTGCAAATGGCACACTGAGAAACCACCTCCTCAATGTTTGATGACATGTGTGGCCAATAAAGAATGTCTCTGGCTCTTTCTTTGTACTTAACCATTCCTAAGTGTGACTCGTGGATTTTGTTTAGCGTCTCTTGTCTTAGCTGCTCCGGAACAATGAGCTTCGATGCTTTGAACATCAGCCCAGCTGTGTATGTGATCTCATCCCTGAATGTCCAGTAGGGCTGAATTTCCTTTGGCACTGCACTTTTCTCATTCGGCCATCCCTTGAAAGTGATTTCTTTCAGGAGTTGCATTTCAGGATCCTCTGCTGTTGCTTTTCTGAACTGCTGCAGTTTTTCCTCTGAAATGGGTAGCTGAGGTGTCACCATGTGTACCTCTAGTTCTTTGTCTAGCAGATCCTCCTTTTGCTCATTGAGGTATGCTCGGCTTAATGTGTCTGCAATATGAAGTTCTTTACCTGGGTGATAAGTAGCTGTCAGGTTGTATCTCTGCAGCCTCAGTAGCATCCTTTGCAGTCTCATAGGAGCTTGGTGTAAAGGTTTTTTAAATATGCTCTCAAGTGGCTTGTGGTCGCTCTCAACATGAATGCTTTTTCCATTCCACTGGTGGAATTTTTCACATCCATAAACAATTGCAAGCAACTCTTTTTCTATTTGCGCATACCTGTGCTGACAGTCTGTGAGAGCCCTTGACCCATAAGCTGGAGGTTGTCCAATAACTACACCAATCCCTTCAGAACTGGCATCAACTGACAGCGTGACTGGTTTGTTCACATCATAACACTTCAAAGTTGGAGCATTGGTGACCAGCTGTTTAAGATGTTCAAAACTTTTCTTTTGTTCTTCTTCCCAGTGCCACTCTGTGTCACCTTCAAGCAGCTTTCTTAAAGGGGCACTGATGTCTGATAAGCTTGGCATGAACTTGGCAAGATATTGGATCATTCCCATGAACCTCTGCAGTTCCTGCTTGTTCTCTGGTAGAGGTAGCTGTATCACTGCTCTCACCTTTTCCTCATCTGGTCTCAGTCCACTGCTGCTGAGTTTGTGTCCAATATATTTGATCTCCTTTGTCCTTATAACACACTTGGTCTTGTTGAGCTACAGGTTGTATTCCCTGGCTCTGTCCAACAACTTCTTCAGTCTGTGGTCGTGCTCTTCCATGGAGTCTCCCCACACTAGTCATCAATGATATTTACCACACCTTCTAGTCCTTCAATCATCTGTGCAACAGCCCTTTGGAATACCTCTGGTGCAGGTGAAATCCCAAATGGCAAACGTAGGAATTTGTATCTTCCTATGGGGGTGTTAAACGTGCACAACTTTGAGCTCTCAGCATCAAGTTTTATCTGCCAGAAGCCCTGATTAGCATCTAGTACTGAAAAGTATTTTGCATTTGGCATGCGAGACACTAC